CAGACCAAGTCTTTGCAGGATGGATGGGAACCACCGAGATCAGACCACGTCTTTGCAGGATTGATGGATGGGAACCACCAAGATCAGACCAAGTCTTTGCAGGATGGATGGATGGGAACCACGAGGTCACGGAAGCACCACTCCCGCGGTGAGGCCCGCAGCAGCTCGTGTCACTGGGGCGTCCTTGAGAAGCCTCGGCGGCCGTGGGCACTTGTGAAGACTCGGGAAGCCCCGGCTTGCCGGACAGTCCACCTTCCAGTCCTCCTGGCTTCACAGCATTTGAGTGATTGACGAGGGTTTGACAAAAGCGATTCCATTTTTATTCTGGCATCTCTCACAAAGTTCATCTCTGGAAGCTGCATAGGGAATTAACGGAGAGTCTTCTGTTATTAATTAAATTAATGGGGGGATAGCGATATGATGAATTATTTAGCTAGATAGCAGGAACTACGAGTGGATTTTTATTTTTATATTTGCCAGTCCTGGGGCTTGAACTCTGGGCCTGGGCACTGCCCCTGCGCTTTTCAGCTCAACACTGGTGCTCTACCATTTGGGCCACAGCGCCACTTCTGATTTTCTGGTGGTTAACTGGAGATCAGAGTCTTGTAGACTTTCCTGCCTGGGCTGGCTTTCAACCAAGATCCTCAGATCTCAACCTCCTGAGTAGCTAGGATGACAGGTGTGAGCCACCGATGCTCAGCACACATATTGCTTTTATGCTTGGAAAAGAATGTATTGACTTTCACTTCAGATAGGCAAAAGAACCATAGCTACTAATGTCATTACTCAGCATAATTTGATGAGAAATAAAAGTTACCTCGTATTCAGTTTTATACATGTTTCTTGAAAGTTTTTAAGTTCAGTTCTTTTTATAGTTAAAATGTTATTATAACTTTTTCTGGAAAACACTTTATACCCTTAGGAGGGAAGCAGTTAGCAAAAGGTCAGGAGGGCATTGTGAGCCACCCTTGGCGGTTGATTTACTCCCTGTCCCATTCTGCTTTCCCCTTAAAGGAAAACTGTGTCTGTGGGACTACACTGGGAATAGCATTGTCCACATGGCGTTCCTGCCTCCTTCGATTTGAGAAAACCTTAGCTAACTCGTTGAGAAAATGCAGAAGATCTTGCAAACAGATGAAATTGCCGATGCCCAAGCTCTTAGAAAAGGAAAGAGGAAAAGAATAGAGACAACAGATACAGAAAACGCACACCGTGCCGTGGGTGAAGGACAGGTGGGTCTCTTCCCTATGTCTCGTTTCAGCAGTGCTGCCACAATCCTCCTATGATTCACTGGCACTTGTTCTTCTTCTGACTCTTTAGTTTAGCCCTTTATTTAACTAAAGGAACAGATGGCTGCATGTCCTTCTAAGTGTTGAGCAGTTTGAGTTAGAGCCATACTCAACAATTTGCCTGCTTCGGTTTAGCTGTGGTTAAATATGCCATTGTTCACATTTTACTTGACCTTCTTGAAAATTAAAGGTCCATAAACTCAGAAGTATTTTTCTTCCCTCTAAATATTGGAAAAATTAGAATATTTCTTTTTTGATACTCATTGTGGATTTTTCTTTTCTTTTTGTTGGTTATGGGGCTTGAGCTTTTCTACTCAAGGCTAGCACTCTACTACTTTGAGACATAGTACCACCTTTGGTTTTCTGGTGGTTAATTGGAGATAAGAGTCTCCGGGACTTTCCTGCCTAGTCTGGCTTTGAACAGCAATCCTCCAGTCTCAGTCTCCTGCATGGCTAGCATTACTGGAGTGAGCCACTGGTGGCTGGCTCATTGTGGGCTTTTTCTTTTCAGATTCCAGCCCAGCCTCCCCTCTGCCTCCTCCAGAACTTTGGATAGCCAGTCATTGTATTTATTCTGTAGTGTTTGATTCCCATGCTTCTATAATGCATGAGTATTTGGAAAATGTTGTAATAACTACAGAATTCTACGTTCATATAATCTTAAATCTTCAGATGAACAGTATGTCTTCATGTGGTGTGAAGTATTTTTGGGGGTGGACAGTGAAAAGTCTCCTCCCATGCCTGGGCCCATCCTGCTCACAGCCAGGGCCGCTGCACTGCGGGTAACACATGCACTGTGTTCGTGAGGAAGCCTTGAGGTTACTGTTACTGTCTCCCGCCATTTGGCTGTAGAAATGATTATGGGTTTCTCAAGCCTATGGATGTCATATGACTGGACTCAGCTCATGCAGTGGGTGCTGTACCAGAACTTTCTGTGTCCACATGTAGATTTGTGACCCTGACAGGAGGTGAAGCACCCCAGAGCTCTCCCTCCCTGTTCAGTGGCCACGTGGTCTGCCTGCCTAAGAACCCCAGTCATGCTTTTACCAAATGTGTCATCACGGTGTAGCACAGCACAAGTCATGAGTGAAAGAGTCCACCCCTGACCTCTGCGTGTCCACACAGACTTGAGGCTCTCTTCAGGCGGCCCTGCGGCCGCACACCACAGCACGCCACAGCATTGCAAGGACCCCAGGTAACAGAGCTGTGGCTTTTGCAAGGCAGAGGTCTTTGTCCCCTCGCACAGGCCAGGGCGTGGAGTCACCGTGGCGGTCCCTACATGCCTGGACCTGCTTTCCTTGCACGCAGCCCTGGCTGTGTCTACCAGGACCTCTCCAGTCTCTCAGCTTGCCCTCCTCTCCGAGGAGGAAGAATCAGGCAAGGACATGCCACCCCTGCAGAGTTAGGAACAGTGGGGTCCGTCCCATGTGCTTCTGCTCCATGGGGGCGTGGTCACGTGGCCATGGTGAGCCACAAAGGAGGCCTTTAGCTCCCGGCTGCTCCCAGCTCAGAATGGACTGCTTCCCTTTGAGTGTCTTGCCTTCTCTCTTGGTTTCCTCGGTCACTTCTGGTAGGTTTCTTGTTCTATTCTTTCTACAGATACCTGTCTCCTGTCTCAATTTGAGTATTGAGATTAGGTATGATATATTACAAATATCCTCTACCAATCTGATATTTTCTATGCCAACTTTAATTCCTCCCTGCCATTGATGATTACAAGTGAATTCCCTTTTTCCTAGATTCCTTCTTTTGTAAGCACCTGCTAAAACTTTCTAGGAGGAATAAGACCTAGGGGGTGTGGTGTGGCTTACGTGGTGAGCACTTGCCTGGCAGTCAGGAGGCCCTGGGTTCAGTCCCCAGGACTTGCATCCTCATTCTCTGTCCCGAGCTTCGTGCCTGCCAGAGGAGGCTGAGCGGGTCCGTGGAAAGTGGCCTGGCCTGGCCTGCGGGGCTCACGCCTCCCTGTGCGCCTGCCTGGCCTTGCAGAGGAATCCCTACTCAGGAAACGCCTTTCTGCCCGGGGAGAGCTCCAGTGAGGATGAAGCACCTTTGGCAGAGCTGTCCAAGGAGGAACTGTGTGCCAAGATAAGAACCCTGAGAGAAAGGCTGGCCAACACCCGGAGGGAGAACAGCCGGCTGCGGCAGTCTCTGGTCATGCTGCAAGGTTGGTGTTTTGATGAAGATACGTGGTCAGTGGACAGGAGTGTAAATCCAGTCAAGAATGAAAGGGGGCCGGCACTGGCGGCTCACTCCTGTAACCCGAGTGACCCAGGAGGAGGGGGTCTGTGGATCGAGGTTCAAAGCCAGCATGGTCAGGAAAGTCTGTGAGACTCTTACCTCCATTAACCACCAAAAAAGCCAGAAGTGGAGTTGTGTCCCAGGTGTTAGAATGCCAGCCTTGAGGAAAAACTCAGGGATAGCACCCAGGCCCTGAGTTCAAGTCCCCCCTGCCCGCCTTGAGACACACACACACATACACACATACTCACACACACTGAAGGAAAGCACAGAAGGAAAGGAAGGAAGGAAGGAAGGGGAAATCCAGAGCCTTCAGAAGTTAAAAAAAAAAACATACTGCAAGAAAATTAATTAGTTACAAACTCCCTGATATGTAATAGATGTCCACTATCTAGTAATCATTTTTAATTAGTAATTTTCTTTTATGACAGAAATGGCCAGTATTTTCCTAAAAGAAGCAAAAAGAGTAGCTAATCACATTAATAAAAAACATCTATAAATATAGACTCACTACCCTAGCAAAAACGTGTGGGATTTGTGAAGAAAAATACAAAACTGAGAATATACAAACCTAAATAAATGGAGAGACATTCTTAGATTGGAGGAAATACACCAATCCTTAAAGTAGGTAATAGTTTGAAGACATTGCCAATCAAAGTACTGATAATCTTTTTAATTTTTATCTTTTTAATTTTTAAAAAGTATTTGGCCAAATCTATTCTTAACCTCAAGGCATAAACAGGCTAGATTAAGAGCATCTTGAACAAAAGATGAGTGAGATATGTTAACATTAAGTTGTATAGTAACAAAATCTTACATAGCACTTTCTATAAGCCAGACTCTATTCTGAATTTTCCTAGATAGAGCTGAATTATTCAACAGTATTGGGAAGCCTGAAATTGAGTTAGTTTGTCATTTTGTACTATGTGATACATGAAAAAAAGCTACATGGTTTAAATAAAAACTCTGTTTTCTGAATGTGAATGGGAAGTACTGGGTTGAACACATGATAAGGTTTTTCTTTAAAAATTAGTATCTTGTTTCCTAATAGTATTCATTGAGTGGTCCTAGAAACAAGGAGCCAATAGCCAGGAGCATTTTGAGCAGCATAAGGTAATCCTGTAATGTGATTTCCCACCACACACTCTGAAGATTCTTGCAGAAAAGGCTGCCTCTAGGTCTCACACAGTGCACGCAGGACGCTAGGCAGGTGCGTGGCACAGGAAGTTCCTGTGAACATCATGTCATACCTGGAAAGCGAGTTTAGCGAAGGCAACCTGGATAGAGCAGTTAGGAAAGCTTCCCACTGGCTAGAGGTGGGACAGTTTGGGCATCAAATACAATGCTGACCACTGTAGACAGAAATGGGTGTTTACATGCATGCATTCCAATGCTGACCACTGTAGATAGAAATGGGTGTTTA